GGGAGGGCGGGTGGGAACGCGGTTCGAAGACGCGTCTGCTGTGGTTCCCCCTGCCATTGGTACATGATAACCGCGGTAGGAGACAGAGCGCTACATGAACCACACCTCTCCTTCAACGTACCCCAAATTACAAGTTATCACTGCTGCCTAGGGGTAGTGGTACATTTAGTTAAGACAGACAAGTCATCCTACAAGTCATCTCCTTCATTTCTACCTTCTTGCACTTTTACCCTCCACCCTGCAATGCGGCATAATATTTTTTGCACCCCTCCACCACATAAACTCGCCACCTTCCATCACCAGGAATCATTTGCATTTCTAGGTACCGCGAAATGAAAGCAACGACGAGGATGACGCCTATCCCTCTGGCAATGGGTCCTTCGAATGCTGGCTAGTTACAGATTTTCTGCCTCTAGGCAGCGTCTACGACTACATCCGGAGTACCGAGCTGTCCTGGGGTGAGATGCTGCGTATTGCCGTCGGCATGGCGCGTGGATTGAGCCACCTGCACACAGAGTTGCCCCACACTGCATTCCAGGAGGGCAAACCCAGTATTGCCCACCGAGACTTCAAGTCGCGCAATGTCCTTCTTAAATCCGATCTCACAGCCTGCATCAGTGACATGGGACTGGCGATAATTCTTGAGTCTGGCAAGTGCATCGGCGATGCGCACCTTCAGGTACTTCCTTACATCCGAAATTTTTTTCTGGATAAAAAGGGCTTGCTGTGGTGGGGAGACGCATGTAACTCCCGAGACTGAGACTACTCTCTGAGAGAATCTAAGTAATCTCGCTAAGATTGGACTTTCATAACTATGCTTATATGCGTTCCTTTTTATGCGGTCAGGTCTTTAAATTAATAACATCGCTCCGGCTAGCTGCGTCCGCCTAGGGGAGGGGCAACTGATATGAAGCAGTTAGGCGAAAACCGCACACACACACACATATATATATTTCATCCGAGTTCGCGCCCCACTTCCCCCCGTCCACACCTCTCATTTGAGAACATTTGGTTACACTCGAAATCTTACTCGGTGTTTCTCCACTTAAAAAAGGGCACTAAAAATTCTGGATACAATATTCCGATATTTTTATACTAAATAAAAAGTACCGAAGTACTAGCGCAGGTGACGGTTCGAGCGTCGATCTCGAAGATATCCACCGCGTGTCCCACAAAACGGGGTGGGTGCAAGGACAATGCACTTATTATAGCCGTACTTGTTATGGCTGCGATAATGACTGATCTAACTTGCCTTGGTTATATCCCCCGATGGTACTTCTCGACGCGTGACGATGCGTGGCAACATATCTGTACAGCCTAATCAATTCTCTTTTCCAACGGCGAAGGCTAAATAATGGAGGTCCAAGGATCATTTCTATGTCCCCCGACGAACTGAGTCGAACCCGGTTTTGAGCTGACCCCCTGTTCCACGTCTCCAGTCAGGTAACGGTTTCAGGTCGAGGGCCGAGAGGTCGTGAAGTTGACCACGAAAAACGTGTCCAAACCTCCTCAGTCGTCTTTCTTGAAGAGTTTGGGATATCCTCACGATTTTGTCGCAGCGAGTGCGGACTGATTCATTTGAGACGAAGTCGGTGTACTTCACTCGCAGTAGTGGTCAAATATCTCCAGTTTTCTTTCATCTTCCATGCGCATAGTCCAGCCTTCACAGCCATAGAGAAGGACAGACCGAACGCACGGGAACCTTCGTGGCAGTAGAATTATCGCGTAGGGTCCCTAGACACTTTCTAAGGCATGATAGAACTGGGCGAGATGTATCAATTCGGGAAACAATGTTATCCTTACGCTGCTCATTCGGCCGTAACCTCGGCCCCCGAGCTATTTGCGCGTGATCAAGTTTATGTGGGTAGTGGACTTGCACGGTATCTAGCACACTTTTCCCATTGTCAAAATAGAGCTAAGAAGACCAGAGACCAGGATCGGGCGCAGTAGCCTGACAGAGCTAAGCAACCCGACTACGTGTGCCGTACACCCACTCTACCCACAATTGGACAAACCCAGCAGCGAATAGCATGCAAACGAACTGTGTACCTCGTTGGGCAAATGCGAATTTTGTAGGCCTTTTTTTGACCCAACGCCCCTTGCAGTGTATTTGTCTCACAAACACCAACGCTTTCACGTCGTTTCTGACCATAACATAGGAGACGGCTTCTGGTTATCGAATCTCAGTACACGCCACAAAAATGCAACTGTAAATGCTTACAGTTGGCATTTGTTTATTTATTGATCGATAGGTCGCCGAGAGTTGACAGCAGCATTGCAAATAGTGCTACCGTTGAACACATTTGTTTCAGTATACATAAAAGCAGCCTTTAAAATTACATAATAAACTATGAAAATTTAGGTTTGTTTTAGTTTTTAGGTAGTGCTTTTTTTCTGTGCGCCAAAAACTAGTTTAGAGAAAATATAATTAAAATTCACGAGCTAATTTAGGCATAACGGGAACTTTACATTTCCATACTTTCCCCCTGAGCTTATAATTTACTCTCACACCCTTCCGGAGAGAATTTATAAAAATCGCGGAACAAGTTTGCGATTGCACAATAGACACCATCCTATTTTGCTTTTGTTCCTTACGAAGCTAAACATGCTAAACACACAAAATAGGCAACGAAGAGGAAGCTTGTTCATACAACTGAGCGTTTTTCTTATCGATGAATCCGTTAAAAGTATGTCTACTGGGGTTCCACTAGCAAGGAGTGTAGCTGGAATAGGGGAGTCACAGTTCGTAACACGTGCTTATGGCGCCTGAAATAGACGTTACTGGTTAGACTGGTTCAGATGCTGCATGGGGCCCCTCGGAATCGGGCGTCGGCCGTTTTCCTGCCAGTGGATTGAATTCTTCCGGTTCACTACATGTATCTAGGGCACTGATGATTTGTAGTGC